TGAATTGAAAACTTCATACATCACTATTCTTAGGTGGTTGGCTTCTGAGCTTCTCTTTATTGAATTTCGCAATTTTCTTCTCTATCGAGAGCTTATTCGTAAGCCTTCTATTCCTTGTTTGCTCCTTTCCTAGCTACTCTGTCACGAGTGATTTGATTTTATTTGCCTGAATATTTGGCGTATTAGATTTTATGTTCGCTATATTTTGCTAGAAATTTGATACCATTGATTATAATAATCGGCGGTCGTATTATGTAATCATGAGCCTTGCCAACCGTTTATCAGCTTTGCATTTCATCTTTCCCTATGAGACGATAATTCAGTGATGCGACAATTACCGGCTTTTCGTTACATTCTATTCTTTTAATACAAAGTTGATGTGATTTCGTGAAGTCCGAAATGTAACGGGATATGCCAATGAGAGGTTTAATACCGGAAGGTGAGAACATTGCCCGTTTATCGAGTCTTGTGCTGGTGGTGACACGCTCTTATGGAAAGTAAATAGAGAAATATGGAATGATCGTAGGTGGGAGTGAGTCACCTAGTATTACCAAGATAGCAGTGCGTCGCTCAGTGACTTTTTCTTCCATGTTTTTCTGCGATTTTCTCTGCTTGCAAGTGTAACTCACCTGCAAGTACTGTTTTCCGAATCTCGGGGCTGTTGTGGTTGACGAACGTATTATCATCGAACATTTCTGCTTGTCTAGATGTCAACGGTGAAATGTATGACAATTTCAAGCGTTAGTCTTCTGTAGGATGTTGCGGAAATGAGCATCACTTTTCATTCACTGCAGAATCAACAATTCGGTAATATTTATAGAAACAGAAACAAAACTAAGATTGAAAGCAAAGTATGCAGGAACTGAAATTATCACATTGAGGAGCACCTATATGTTTTCTTTTTGTCATTTATCTATGTAATATCTAAAACTTCAAGCCTGCTGACCCAAATGTGGGATAAATACCTCTGTTCCCTGTTCAGTTGCAGGCCGTGGCCTGAAATGACGTGGTCTCGAGAAATTCCCCTCGAACTGCGGCGTCGACTACGGGGAGTGCAAATGTTGAATTAGGGTTCATCAAAAGGCGAGAGGTTTTTGTTGCAGCAAATTTTATGGGTTTGAATGGTCGCGGTAGTGTAGTATCATTCATACAAGACAGTGCTATTAGTTGGACCCATTATCAACTGACTAACTGCGGAGGGAAAGATGGATTTTGTCTGTTGTTATACTCTCCGTGGTTTAAACTTCGGACCATGCATACGCTAGCAATGGACCAGTGGCCGATTGCCAGGCTCCATCCTCGCTCTAGTATGCACTAGAACTGTTTTATTTCCCATGTTGCTGTTGAATACTCTTCTACATTTGAGAGTTGCAATGGGCTGCCGCATTTCGTAGTGGCGCACTGAACTTTCAAATTCAGTCCATACGAATATTTATAAGGGTTACTTGCGACTGATGCCATCATAGTGGTC